GAGAGAGAGAGAGAGAGAGAGAGAGAGAGAGAGAGAGAGAGAGAGAGAGAGAGAGAGTTGACATTGAGACTTGGTGACATTTGGGCATTGCCCAGATCAGTGACATTGCGACTTGACATGATATGAGCAGCGACCTTGGGGATACATTGGAGACTGGGTTCATCGGGCTATGGTGGCTGATCCTCCCTATCTCCCTCTCCCCCCCTTCGTCTCTTCTCCCTCCTTCTCTGAGTGATGATGTATGCTGTCAGGTCCTGTCATTGTCCATGCTGAGTCAGATCTTGGTATTTCAGTCTGCCGCTGTGCTACTTTTGCATTGTCCTTGAGAGGTCGGTTCTCGGTTCTGATCGATGCCGATTAGGTATGCGACAACCTCTGAGCCTCTTTTTCCCGACGTGGATTTGCACTGCGAGACAAAGAAAAACGAAGAGCCAGTGGGGCCCTTCTTTCCTTCTTTGGCTCGTGCTGCCAGCCATTTCGGTCCGGTACAGCAATGTTCATCTTGAGGAACCTGTGGATTGATGCAATTTCTATTCGCTGATCTCAAGTAAATACTCTGTGTTCTTGCAGAAAGTTGATGTGGTGATGACTGCTGTTATTTTATGTCTTTAATTTCTGGTATATTTGTCTGGCAGAGTCAGGCAGACTTTTTTTTTCTGCCATTTCAGAGCCTCTGGCTAGTAGGGTCCAGAGTGAGACTACGCTGCACAGTGTTTCTTCACGTTTTTGTGGCCATAGGCAGCATAGGGTACTGAAATGCAGACTCAAGTCTTATTCACGTTTTCAGTGGTCGAGCGAGAGCATTCCAACGTGGGAACGTGGGACCGCCCGATCGCACGGACTCAAGTTTGTGTTTTCAGTAGTACGGTTGTCAAGGTCAATAGGACCACCGGTCTTCATGTGGACCTTTGGGGTTCATTCGCCGTGCTAACTGTTTTTCAACTAACTGTTTTTCAACCATGGTTACCGTAGATGGAGTTAGGTAAAAGGGCTACTGTGGGGGGGGGGTGTGGAAATGGTGTTGGTTGAAACCTTTGGAAGTTGAGTTCTTTTTTTTTCCTTCTTTTTTCACCTTTTTTGTGCGATGTACCGTGAAGTTTGAAGTTGAAATTGGTGAGGATGTTAAAACATGAAAGAGAATGCAGTGGGACAGCGGCCTACCTCAGTTGGTTGAGCACGCAAGTGGTATTCAGGAGGTCGTGGGTTTGATTCCCCACTGCATCCATTCGGCTCCCCACGACCTCCTGCTCCATACTTTAGGGTCACCACCTGAGATAGTCGGCTCGCCCCCCCTAGTGGGTCTCGGTAGGGGTAACTATGCCCCCTTCCATCCGCGCTAGGGGTTAGATTCAGCCCTGAGGGGGTAGGCTCAACCGGGGAGGCTCAGCCCTGAGGGAATAGGTAGGCAGGGATAGAGGTAGATAGGCGCAACCCATAACCCATGGAATAGCCTGTTTCCCGTTGTTAGAGTAAGGTAGGGGTTGTGGTCAGAGGTAGAAAGGCGCAACGCATAACCTGTGGAATAGCTTCCCGTTGCTCGATTAAGGTTGGGTTTGTGGTCGGACTAGTGCAGAAAGACGAACAAAAAGGGAAGTCTCCATGATAGATGAGGGTAGGTAGGTAGCTAGAGTGAGGTAGATATAAGATTGAGAGAAGAAAATAGGGTAGTAAATACAGCTTGTCCCCCCATAATAGGAGAAGACATCTGTTTTTTTTTTTTTTTAAATGAAAGAGATTGCACTGGTTTTTTCTTTGTTTTTTTTTTTTCAAATGCAATTTTAAGATGCACTTCGGATCTGAATTCAGCTAGGTGGGATCTCGATCCAGCCGGAGAAGTAAACAGGGAGCTTGGGGTGGAACTAGGATGAAGCAGAAGACTATTTACCATATGTTGAGCTTGGGGTTGAGCTGGGATTGAACCATAGGTTGAAGGAGGAGTTGCTAGCAAGGTATAGAGCTCGTGGAGTTCACAGACGACAGAGGAAACATGAGTTTAGGGTTTCGGGTTTAGGGTTTAGGCCCTGCGATGACGACTTTTTAAGAGGAAAAAACTCTGGAAAAGGGAAAAACTGAAGAAAAACAGCAAGATTGTCATCTGATTTCTACTCATGAATGGATTAAACTCGATTTACTTCTGTCCTTTGGCAGATACGCTAAAATTGGAATGATACAGAGAATATTAGCATGGCCCC